GTCCTCACCTTTTTCCTTTAAAAATAAAATATTTTATTTCTTTATTTTTAGAGTAAGGGGAAGGGAGGGAGAAAGAGAGGGAGAGAAACATCAGTGTGTGGTTTACTTTCACATGGCCCCCACTGGGGACCTGGCCCACAACCCAGGCATGTGCCCTGACTGGGAATCAAACTGGTGACACTTTGCTTCACCACCTGCACTCGATCCACTGAGCTACACCAGCCAGGGCTCACCTTCCTGAAGAAGGGCAGCTGACTGTGCTCTCTGACTGTCTCTGTGTCACTGCTGTCTTGAATGGGCGAGCCCCAGGTCCAGGTCACTCTGTGTATGCCTAGCTTCAAGGGGCACTTGGTAATGGTTTTCTGAAGCTGGTGACACATTTTCCCAGGGCCTTGGGCGATCCTCCCACCAGGGCGTCTGTCAGGAATGACGGTGCGTGCTTCTCCCACAGCTGGAACTGGCCAGCAGCTACCAGGCAGCCTGCTCCTTGCTTGCAAGACAGCAGGTGTCGTTGGCTTTAGAGACCTGGGTTCTAATCCCAGCTCTGTCACTGAACATCCAAGTGACCTTGGAAAAATCACTTCTCTGACCTCAGTTTCATCAACTTCCAATGGAGACGACGAGTTTAAGTCAGAACACTTTCAGGTACAAATGACAAATACTCAACAGAAAGGAGCTTAAGCCAAAAGGGAAATTTATCAGCTATGAAATTGAGGAACGTGGGACCATGTCATGGTGAGTTCAGGCATGAAGATGAACAGCAGCAGCATCATTCAGCTCTGCTTTCTACTGTATTGCTTTGGTTCTCTGTCAGTCTTTCTTCCTGCAATAGAAAAATTGTCTCCAGAAGTTCCAGGCTACTAGTTCATCAAACCTAGCAGAACCGCCCATAGTCCTAGGGATTGAGTTTCATTGGTCCAGCTTGGGTCATGTGTCTGACCCTGAACCAATCCTAGGGGTTAGGTGTATGGACCTCTCTGAATGGTCAGATTCGGTCACATGACTATAGGGGAAGGGCAGTGTCAGACCCAGCTGAAACACAGTGCACTGAGAATGGAGAGAGAGTCCCCCAAAGGTTTAGGGGTCTGATACCAGAAAGGATGCAAGGCAGCAAAGTCATAATCCTTCACTAACAAGTCCACCTACTGTTAGGAGAGTCAGAGGAGAAAAGGCACATGAAGTCACTTTGCGAAATGCTAGCTACATCAGGTTTCTGGTGCGATAGTTGATTATAGAAAAGAGATGGAGGTAGACATCTGGCCTTCAAGGTGTTTGAGTAATACATAGTTTAAAAAATAACTAGCAGACAAACTGAACTAACAAGGAAAATGGAGACAGACTCATAGATGGAGAGCGGGATGACAGCTGGTGCGGAGGGGAAGTGAGGGAGGGGGTGGAGGGGCGAGCAAGAAGGAAAAGGTCTCAGGCACAGACGCAGTGCGGTGACTGCTGGGGGAGCGGAGTATAAGGGGACTAAATGGTAATGGGAAAATACAGTGAAAATTAAATTAAAAAACAAAACCTCAAAAAAAAAGTAACTACCAAGTAGTTTATTTTTCTTTTCTTTGGTTTTTCTGACACAAGGCTGTCTCTCTGGGGTACGAAAGGAGAAAGGGCCTGGGGGCTAAGTGGGCAGCCGTAAGCATTCCAGGGCAGAACAAAGAACAGGGGAAGTCGTGGACATGAGCACGTAGATGTCAAGAGGCCTGTGTGTGTGTGTGTGTGTGTGTGTGTTGGGGACTGGTCTTAGCCCTCCAAGGCCCTGGCCACACACGGAGACTTTGAAAGCAGGTGGAAACCTAACCCTGAAGGTCGGTAAACGCTAGGCTCCAGCGAAGCCTGGCCAGGGCGGCAGAAAGAGAAGGGACTTGGCCCTGACTGGTGTGGCTCCGTGGGCTGGGCGTTCTCCTGCAAACCAACAGGTCACGGGTACGAATCCTGGTCAGGACACAGGCCTGGGTTGCAGGCCAGGTCCCCAGCTGGGGGCATGCGAGAGGCAGCCAGTCAGTGTTTCTCTCCCTTTCTCCTTTCTTTTGCCTCTCTCTAAAAACAAATAAAATCTTCTTTAAAAAGAACAGAAAAGAAAAAGGATTTGGAGTTGGACTGGTCCTAATACTAATGCAGCCTCTCCCTCTGGTTGGCTGTGGTAACACCAGGCAGGTGGCTCACATCCCCAAGCTCCTTGTGTGGGGCCTGGGAGAACCCAGTGAGATGCCGGGGGGTGTTCAGTCAACAGCAGCCTCTCTCTCTCTTCTCGTACTGGTATTAGTGAGCGCGGGGCGAGCCCATCAGGGACCGCAGAACAAAGTGGTTGAGAACTCGGGCTCTGGAGCTGGCCCAGCGGGGTTGGAGTCCACACATTCCTGTGCCCCCATTTCTCATGTGTCCGAAGGGGGTGATGCTGCCACCACGTTAGAAGTCATTGTGTGGATTGGGTGCGTTAACACCTGCAGAGTTCGGCACATTCGGGAGCCCCTTTACGTTGGTCGTGTTGTTCAGGAGATGCCCACCCCCGTGGCCGGGAGGGCACAGGCCGTCCATGTCACAGGCTCTGAGAGGCCAACCTGCCCAACACAGCCGCACTGCTGGGATGTCAGTCCACATCAGAGCATCCTTCCACCTGCTGCACAGGCTCGGGGGCGGGGGGCGGGGGAACAGTAACAATAGTCCTTGATAGATATCTTCCAGAGGGTCAAAGAGTAGACAAGATGTCCATCCTCTGTGAGTCACTTTGCCAACTGCTTTCTCCACCAGCAGCTGGCAGGAAAGAGCCAGCACCAGGGCGAGGGTATGGGGGAGGGGGTGCGGGAGTTGAGAATGTGGGCTCCCAGGAGGGGCTAGAGGGGCCTGGAGGGGCCTGGGAGAGGGGAGTGGAGTGGACGGGGGAGAGCTCTAAGGGGAAACAGTAAAGGGAGATAGAGGACACAAGGAGGGGACAGCATGGACCCCCTTAAAGAGCATCTAGACCACAATTTGCTACTGTTGTATGATTTTATTTATTCACCTTTAGAGAGACAGGAAGGGAGGGAGAAGAGAGGGAGAGAAACATCGATGTGTGAGAGATACATCAACCAGTTGGTTGCCTCTTGCACGGAGACCTGGCCCGCAACCCAGACATGTGCCCTGACTGGGAATCAAACCGGTGACCTTTCCGTTCGCAGGCCTGCACTCAGCCCACTGAGCCACACCAGCCAGGGCTGCTCTTGTTGTTTTAAACTTCATCCTAGTAATCCAAAGGATTTTGTCAAAGTTCATGTAATTCACACATGAAAGCAATTGGGTTTGATGTTTCTACATTTTATTGAAATCTATTTTTTTAAATGAACCTTGAAATATAATTTACATAGCACAAAATTCACCCTTTTAATGTATGCGATTCGGTGGTTTTTAGTATGAGCACAGTTTTCCGCTCATCGCTGCCTTCTGACTTGAGAACACCGCCATCATCCCAGACAGACGCGCCCATCCGATGTGGCTCCCTGCCTCCATGCCCCCACCCCAGCCCTCACCAGGCAACCACCAATCTATTTTCTGTCTCCAGATTTGCCTATTCTGAATTTGTCACGTGAATAGAATTGTGCAACATGTGGTCTTGTACGACTGTTTTGTTTTGCTCAACATGTTTTCGGGGTTCATCCATGTTGTTGCGTGTATCAGAACTTTCTTCCTTCTCTGGTTCATATGATGCCACTGCGTCTCCAGCGCCGCATTTTTCTTGTCCAGGCAGCTGGCAGACAGTTGGGCTGTGTTCACTATTTGACCATCATGAATAATGGCTCTGTGAACATCTGTGCACAGTTTTTGCATAGACAGATGTTTTCAAGTCTCGAGTTTGTACCTAGGAGTGGAATTGTTTAGTCATGCAGTAACTGCACGTTTAACTTTTTGAGGAACTAATAAGCTGCTTTCCAAAGCAATTATGAATGTTGTTAATGCCACTGATGGCTCATGTGCAGAGAAAGGCTGGTTCGTAACTCACTCTGGCTTTTCAAACTAATACTCAATTTCTTAAAATCCAAATTTTAAAACAAGCATTTCAAAAACGTTTAAGTTCAACTAACCAGTCATATCATTCTAATCATAAATCTAGTGAATAGTAATAACTTCTAAGACTTTGATTACTAATTGGTCTTTTTAAAATTAAAACTACTTTAGGCAGCTTATATGGCCCTTAATCATGTTATGTATAAGTGTATTATCATATGTATCACAATAAAGCTGGAAAAAATAAAATGAAGTAAAAAGAACTCAGTTTTCTTGAAAGATCTTTTTAAAACAGAGCGATTGACTGACAAACCAACCTCCTGTGTACTTTTATTGTAATATACGAAGAAAACATGTAAAGATAGTAAATTTCAAAATATTCTAAAAAATGGCTTTACAATCCCAATAAGAATTTAACTTCAAAGAACAGGCTATATTCAACTTTCTGACTTAAATTAGAACCCCCAGGCTTACCTCTTAAGCACCCCGCCAGGCCAAATTATTTGAAAGATTTTCAAGTACTTGAAACACAAAATATGCACAATGTAACAAAAGAAACATCAACAGTTAGTTTGATTCTCTTAAGCAGTTCCATACATAATTCTAAATTTTCCTGAAGTTGATAGATAAAGACCCAGTAAAGAGCTACATGAAGATTACTGTATTTGCTGTGTATACTGTGCACCGATGTTTTTGGCCCAGACTTTCAGGAAAAAAATATTCTGTTTTAATTTTTAAATTCAATTAATTATTTATTTATATTTACAAACAAAACTGATTGTCATATTCCAGGGTATTATTTTGCATACAGATATCATCATTGCTTTCTAGAGTTACACTTTCAATGCATCAGCATAAATAAAAGAATTAAAAATAGTTATATAGATATGGAATTAGTACTATCCATGTATAATGTGCACCTTTATTTTTCCCTCAAAAATTTGGGGAAAAAGTGCTCATTATACACAGCAAAATATGGTGCCTTCCCAAGTAATATGGTGGTGGGGGTGGGGTGGGGGAAGTGAGGAAGCGATCCCCTTGTTAAGTTACAGATTTTATGTCAAGGTTTTTCTTTATTTATTTATTTTTAATTTGCAAAAGTATTTTATTTATTCATTGTTAGAGAGAGGAGAAGGGAGGGAGAACGAGAGAAACCTCGGTCAGGCGCCCAGCGGAGGCCCTGGCCTGCAGCCCGGGCGTGCCCCGCCACGAGGAATCCAGCCGCCGACTCTTAGGTTTGCAGGCCGGCGCTCCGTCCCCCTAGCCACACCGGCCAGGGCTTATTTGTTTACTTTAAAATTATAGTTGACATACAATACTAGCTTCAGGTGTACAACATAGCGATGAGGTGCTCATAAACCTGACGAAGTGACCACCACAGTAAATCTGGTAGCTGTTGTGCGGCTGGAGATCTAAGTCCGCGGCTATACCCAGTTACTACGGTATCATTGACTCTGTTCCCCAAGCTGTACGTCACCGCCCGTGGCTTATTTTATAATGGGCAGTTTGGGCTTCTTAATCCTTTCTCTCACCTTTTCCACCCATCTCCCCCTCTTCCCAAGATTTTTGTGGGGCCCTGTCAGGCTGAGCTCCGTTTTCATAGCCACGGACACAGGCTCCAGCTCTTACAAGGCGGGGATCAGCCTGCGGTTTGAGGGTCCATCAGGGTTCAGTTTTCAAGCCTCTGTCGTTAATTTCTACCCATGTTACGGCCCCACTTGCGTAGCTTCAATGCATCATCTATCTGCTGCTTTCTTTCTCTGAATTCGCTCCCACTCTAGAGCCATACTGCCTTGGGTCGAGTCCCAGCCCTGCCTATTACTAGCTGTGTGACCTTGGGACGACACTGAACCTCTTGGTGCCTCAGTTTTCTTAGCCATAAAATGGAGCAGAAAAAGAACCTGCTCGAAGGGTTTCTCTGAGGGTTGAGCCAAGGTGTGTGAGGCCCTGTGGGTCCCTGACCCAGGGCTAGCTCGGTTTATGAGTTTGCTGTGACTGTCACTGATGCACCGTCACCCTTATGTGTCAGGACCACAAAGTGTAGTGCTAGTCACACAGTGTCTAACTGGGCCCTGTGCATGTTAGGGCCTGGACTCGGGGCCACAAGTCTAAAGTCATTCTGATGACCCATGTCATCCCTTTGCCTCTTAAGTATGTCACATGCTCCCTCTGCTGGACAATACCTCAGACTTGGGTGGAGTCCCAGACCCACACGCAGTTCTTGCCTTTTCCTTCAAGGTCTGGGTGTTTATTAAAGTGGGTTGATGGCCCTTTAAGAGGTGGTAGCTAGCTCCTAGTTGCCATGGAGACAGCTGGATACACACCGGGTTAGCAAGCAGCAGGCAGCAGGCAGCATGGCCTCTAAAGTTCAGTCCAAAGGTAGGAAGAAGGGTGCTGAGGCTGGACAGGGGAGGGCCATCTTCTCCCTCACAACCTGCCTGGAGGTAGCCTTGGAGGACTCTGCTCTAGGGACCACTGCCCCGCCCCTGTTCTCTCCGAGGTCTACCACCATCTCCCCCTCTTTCCCCTCCATAGGCTCCAGAGCCAAGGAGCAGCAGCAGGCCTCAGCCCCAGAGAGTCTGCCACTCCCAAAGGCCAATGCTGAAGCCATTCACTTCCTCTCTTCCCTCGGTGAGCCTGGGCAGCGGGTGAGGGAGAGGGGGGCGCGAGTGTGGCGAGGAGGGAGCAGAGACGCCCAGACCTGGGCCCGCCTCTCTCAGCATTGATCCTCCTGAGACTCTGAAAGGGTTGATACTTGTTGAAATTTTTTAAGGGATGACCTTAGGACATGGGGGTGGCTGGGGTGTCTCTTCAGCTGCTGGCTGCTGTAGAGGTCAGAGGAGGGGAGGCAGGGGTGGATGAGGAGGGCGTGGGTGGGGACTGTGGGACACTGGTGGCCAGGGGGTCGGAGAGTTGAGGCCTAGGAGCTGGGGCTTCATCTGTCCCCACGGGACCCTCACCACGCAGGGGAGGAGGAGCTGCAGAAGCTGTTCTTCTCGGAGACCCTGGCCATGGTCTCGAACACGGGGGAGCCTCAGGGAGAGCTGACCGTCGAGGTGCAGAGAGGGAAGTTCGAAGGCAGCTTCGGCAGACTGTCTCACTGTCCCCTCGTGCACGCCGCCACCCGTGGCTTCCTGGACAAGACGCTCTGCGGGAACTCCCTCCTGGGTAGAGCCCCTGCTTCCTAATGCCCTTCAACCCCATCCTTCCTCCGCCCGCCCTCCCCGGTTCCCAGAGCCTTACTCGGGGCCCACCCTTGGACTGCACCTCAGCACGGGAATGAGGCGCAGTGGGTGTGTGGGAGGCGGGGACGTCAGGGAGGTTAGTCACAGCCACACACTCAAGACAAGAGCAACCCCTTTTGTCTAGTTTCTCCCTAAGTCTTCCAGCCCGGGGCCCCTCCTGCGATCTCCAACCTGCCTCTTGCGATGGCACTGTTCCCCGCCCTCCACCCCAGGCTATCTTTCGTGGAACTTGGAGACCCTGGAACAACACAGTCAGGAGTTCATCAAGGTACCTCCTGGGGCCCCCAACCTCGATCCCAATCCAGGCTGAGAGAGTACAGACCCTGAGAGAGGGGGGTGGAGGGGAAGGGAGCGGGGGCTCAATAGAATGTCAGCTTGCCCCAGGTGGTGTGGCTCAGTGCACTGAGTGCCAGCCTGTAAACTAAAAGGTCACTGGTTCGATTCCCAGTCTGGGCACGTGCCCAGGTTATGGACCAGCTCCTCAGTTGGGGGTGTGGGAGAGGCAGCGGATCCACACTTCTCTCCCTCCCTTCCACTCTCTCTGAAAATAAATAAAAAAAATCTTTAAAAAAAATAGAATCTCAGCCTAACTCCGCAGTTACCCCTGCAATCCCTACCACAGAAATGGGAAACAAGCCGTCCAGGGCACTGGGGTCAGCAGCGGGGTGCCCCTGATGACCTTCTAACGCACAAACACTGGCTCCAGCCCATCCTGGACCCCTCCAGCCCGAGAGCCTAGCATCTCCTAGGGCCACACGGGCTGACCTTTCCCAGAGTCTGGCCTCTCCCAAGGGCCTGTCACCACATCATCACCTCCAAATTCTCCTGCTCTGTGCCCCTCACAACCAGCGGTCGCCACTTCATTAACTTCTGGAATGTGTAACATCTGGAACGCGACCCGTTTCCACCTCGGACGCCACTCTCGCCTAAGAGCCTTCCTGCAGACACCATTCCCATCTTTTAAAACCTGCATTTGAGGCGATTTGCTTTGTAACGACCTAGTGCACCATAATATGACTCCTCTTCTTGAGCTTTCCTACGTATGGAAGGTTCTCTCTCCAAACCTCTCCCTTGGTTCTCTGGTTTATCAAGGAGAATGGACAAGAAGACGGCTGGAAGGGGCGGGGGTGGTCCCGTCTGTAGGCAATCCGGTGAGCCCCAACTCTCCCTTCCACGCTCTGGCCCGTAGTTCCACGTCCTCCCCGTGGAAAGGAGGATGAGTTTGCTGAAGCAGGAGGATCAGCTGGCCATGACCAGAAGTGTCAAGGAGGGCGAGGTGAGGTGGGAGCCATATTCCATATCCTCGGGAAACCAGAAGCCAGGCCGTGCCGGGCCAGAAGCCTGCGGGAGGGGCTCGGCGAGGACCCTATACCCGGCACCTGGCTTGCCCACCCTCCCTGTTCCCTTCTGTCTCCACATTCCTGAACCAGATTTGTCCTGAATAGGAAGTGAAGACCGAAGTGACATTTTTCCCCTGGCACTCAACGGCGGGTTTCATCTCTGAGGCTGCCAACCTGCTGCTGCTGAGGGTGATGGCCTGGAGGCAGATGGTGCCCAGTAAAGCCCGCTTCCTGGCCCTGGACACGGAGGGCAAGCTCTGCTCTTCCACTTACGTGAGGGGTCTCCCTGGTGGGGAACTTGGCCTCGGGGCAGACCAGAAGGGGCGGGAGAGTGCTGAAGGGGGAGAGAGAACCATGGAGCAGAAGAGGGGGTGGGGTGGGGATAAATCCAGGGCCAGGGGTTGGGACTTCCAAAGGCAGGAAGAAGTAAGACCGCATTTGTGAGTTCAAGTGGGGGCAGGTGGAGTGCGCAGCTGGGGTGGGGAGCGACACGTTCTCGTACAAAAGCCAGTCCAGGAAAAATAAACGTAGTGGAGGGCTGCTTTTAAAGACGTATTTTTAAAAATATTTTATCTACTTATTTTTACAGAGGGGAAGGGAGAGAGAAAGAGAGGGAGAGAAACATCAGTGTGTGGTTGCCTCTCATGTGCCCTCTACTGGGGACCTGGCCCGCGACCCAGGCATGTGCCCTGACTGGGAATCAAACCTGCAACCCTTTGGTTTGCAGGCTAGCGCTCAGTTCACTGAGCCACCCCAGCCAGGGCTAAAGACATTTTATTAACACCAGGAAATGCAATGTCTCCAAGGACACTTCAAATTCCTTATTGTGTCTCAACCCTGAAGGTCTTCCTTTTTGTTTTCGTTTCGGCTAAAATTTCATAATCAACATATCTCAGACTGACTGTAGTATGTGATCTTTAGAGCCATGCCTCTGAGCACACACTTTGGGGGCTGATCTGACCAGCTTTGTGAATGACACTCTAGTCTTCTCTATCCCGCGTGACAAACAGCAGCGTGTTTGACATGAACGGGCACGTGTCATTCACCCCCATTGTCTTGGGAACACGTGGTAGCACTTTTCCCTAAGTGCTAGCATAGACATTTACAGGGTTTGAGTCTGAGTTCTAACAGAGCACCCTGCCTGCAGCAGCGCGGGCCTGAGGGGGCCACAGGTGTCAGTCTAGTCGCACCCCCAGAGCCTCACTGCCCTCCAGTCCCCAAACAGTGCCCCCCACACACACACACTCATACCTGATTGGTTGACCTTCATCCCTGCAACAGAATCTGCCAACTAGAAACACTTGGTCACAGAGAGAGGGTGAGGAGTGGTTGGGGTGGGAGCAGGCTGAAGCTGGCTATGAGGGGACCCCCAACTTATTTCTGGGGGTACAACTCAGATCTCATGGTGCCTGAGCGTCTGGACAGCCAAGAGCTGCTTATCAGTGTTGAACAAAGAATGCAGCTGTAAGATGAAGAAAAGGGACAGGGAAAGATGTGGGGGGAGACCCAGGTAGACATCCACCTCACCTTCCCTCATTCCCGCTGCCGCCAGGAAGCTCTGGGCTCCCAGACCATCCAGGTGGACGGTCAGTCGGCGGAAGTGTTCATCGTGGAGCAGGCTGTGCACTCGGATGAGGGCATCCCCATGTCCTGCCAGTACTACATGATGTCCGACGGGTGAGCTGCCGGCGGCGGGGCCCAGGGGGCAGTGTTGAGCACGGCCTGGGTGCTCAGCCTCTACGGAGGGTGAAGGGGAGCCGGAAGACTGCTGTTTCTGGGGACACCGCCGGTAAAAGCTGCTGTTGAGATCGGAGTGTCCCTCCTTTATCCACATCGTTCGCCCTTCCTTCATTTATTCACTCACTCTCCCGATCCGCACCGTGCCTCCCAAAGCTCACGGAAGGGCTCTAGGTGGCCAAGGGCATTCACGCCGACTCCCCAGGGCCTAAGGCCTAGTTAACACGGGCGTCACAGGTGGTAGGGGTACCACGGAAAAAGCGCCAAGGTTCGAACACCACAGCCCTGGATGAGGTGCTGGGAGAAGCATTCCGGCACACGGCCAAGCCGTCGTCAGCAAAGCACAGGCTCCAGACGATGAAGAAGTCCGAGAGGGGAAGAAGAGTTTGTATCTTGAAATTTACAAAGAGGTGTTGACATAATCACTACACAAACAAACAAACAAACAGTAATCAGAACACCCTTGGCCTTCCGTAGTTCACAACTTAGCGTGTTGTTCTGGTTTTCACGCCACCTACCAGGAGGCTCATGATTCTTCCAGTGCTTACACCTCTCCAAGCCTCCAGCCCTGGCGCACCAGCACACGCCTCCAGGGGCAGGAACAGCACCCGGTTGGAAAAGCCGGGGCCGTTATCCGGGGAACTAGAAATGGAACTGGACCTGGGAACTGGAAGATAAGAGTGGGGGGCGGGGGAGGCAGCCGCGAGGGGAAGCCCCAGGGACTGCTGCCTCTGCAGGGAGCAAGCTGCTCTCGCGAGATGCCCACCTTCTCCCGTGCTGCATTCCAGGCACCTGGCCAAGAGAATCCAGGTGGGCTCCCCCGGCTGCTGTGTGGTCACCAAGATGCCCATCTTGAGGGAGGAGGGTGAGCGAAGCTTCTAGCTGGTGGGATTGTGCAGGGGAGGTGGGAAAACCCGGGGCCTTCCCCGGTGCGGGGCTGGATTGGGTGTGCCGTGGGTGGGATCAGAGCCCAGATCAGATCAGGGGAACGTTTGCCCTCCAGCCCTCGACCCCAAGGCAGTGAGGGGAGGATCATTTCGCAGGGAACCACTTCCAGCAACTCTGCCCACGTGGACAGAACCCTGGGTTTCACCTGAGCCTGCAGTTCGGGTGTTCTTGGGCATCCGTGTGCATCCGAGGAGGGTTCTGGGGTCGGGATACGCAGACTCCCCCCCCCCCCGCCCCTCCGCACCCAGATGAGACGGAGCCCCCCCTCGTGTTTGAGAAGAAGCCCCTGCCGTGGGAGGAGGACATGGCGCTCCACTCGAAGTTCCTGGAACGGAAGGTGAGCAGAGGCTGCAGCGGGCCTGGGGTCCCCTTGTCCCTCCCCCCACCTTCACACCCCCTCCCCGCATAAACTCCACCATCGCCGATCTCCCTTCGCGGCTGGTGGCCTTGCACACCCCGGGGGAAGGGGGGGCGGGAGGCCCCGGCGTCCCCAAGTCCTCCTCGGAGGGAAGTAGGGAGCGCGCGGCCCTGGCTCCGGCTCAGGCTCGGCCCCCGCCAGGAGCAGCTGCGCCTCAGCCACACCAGGTACCTGCAGCAGCACCCGGACGCCGAAGCGCTCGTCTCCGACTTCCTGCTCTTCCTGCTGCTGCGCCAGCCCGACGACGCGGTCACCTTCGCCGCCGAGTTCTTCGGTCCCTTCGCGGCGCGCTACCCGCGCATCTCCCCCTTGCGCTCCTCCAACCGGCCCAGCCCCTTCCGCTCGCTGGAGCCCTAGCTCCGCGGGGCCGCCAGCGGCCCCTGGGCTGGAAGCCCGGACTCCCGGCCGCGGCGCGCGCGGGCAGCACGCACCCCGGAGACGCGCTTCAGCGGCTGCGGCTTTGATGGAAATCCACGGGGCGCTCCCGCCCGTGCGACCCGACCCGGCACCTTTCGCGGCCAGTCTTGGGTCTTGGAACCATTAACACCGTTTACCGAGCGAATTTCAGCCTTTCTTCCTAAATGGTGTTTTCATCATTATCCTCATTTTACAGATGAGAGATTAGAGGCACAGAGGGGTTAAGTAACTCTTGTCAGAGTTAACGCGCGGGAAGCAGCATTCAGACCTGGAGGTTAAATTCCTAAAACCCACACTCCTCTTCATTAGGTTAGCAGGGGTGGAGGGGCGGGGCTTCTCGGCCTCAGAAACCGCCCGCTGCCTGACCGCCGCCCGAAGAAAAGAGCAGATGACGTGGGCCGTGGGCGGAGGGGCGGGAAGGGCTGCGGACCGCCACTGGCCTTGCTCGTCTCCTCCGACGCCTCCCAAACACCCGAGGCCAGGCCGGCGCTCTCCCTTCTCCCACACACGCGGGAACCCCGAAACCGCGTGCCCGCGGCCCCCATTCACCTGCTCCCGGATAAGAATGCATGGACAGGTGGTCATCTTGCTTCATGTCAGTCTGCCCAGGGGTTTGTTTCCGTCCAGGGCTGGTGCTGCTCAGTAACACGTATTAGGCAAGCTCCCCCAAGGCGGCGGACACAGGGGGTGCCCTCCACCAGCTCATTCATGGAAGGACTTTTGCAGGGGGAGGGACTCTGAGCAGTTTGCTGTCTAGGGAACAGAACAAGCCAGTTATCTGCAAGGCGGGGGGGGTGGCGGCTCGTTGGTGACCCAGGAATCAGGGAAGGAAGGCTTCGTGGAGAACTGTCACCTGAGCCTTAAAGAAATCTTAGTATTTTATCGTCCCCTTCCCCTACTGTGGAAGAAACACGTGTTCGTTAGCCGGGGGACTTCATTTTAACAGAAGGTGAAATCGTGCAGTCACTGATGCTCAGCAACTGATAACTGCATACTTACTGCATTCCTGAAAAGTTTCAAATGTTAGAAAACTCGCAGATAAAGCTGGAATCTCCCTAGATTCCCGCCCCGATCTCCTCGTGTTTTGTGACTTGTTTCACATGTCGCAAAGGCTCTGTTTCATCGAACAACACATGCACGTTCTGCAACTCTTTCCCTGTCACTGCACGGCCTTCTATTTCTGGTGGCTCTACCACCACGCGGCCAATCTCTGCCCCCCAAGCCTTTTTGTTTTTATTTTTATTTTTTTTATTTTTGCTATCATAAGCAGTGCTGCATTGAACACTCTTGTGGCTAAACCTTTGCCTATATAAACAATTATTTCCTTAAGGATACATTCCGAGAAGTGTAATTGTTGCACTGATATTAATAATGCTTTTGTGTATTTTAACATATTGCCAAATTTTTGGATTTTTTAAGGGTCTGATAAAGTATTCCCCCGGAGAAAATGACACGTGTAAACGTAAGAAAGTGTCATCTACGAGCATGGCCCACAGCAGCACCAGCCAACAGGCCTTCCTGCAAGGATGGAGATGTTCCACACCTGCGATGTCCAGCAGGGTGGCCACTAGTCACATGTGGCCACTGAGGACTAGACATGTGGTTAATAAGACTAGGAGTTTTACTTTAATTTTAATTCATTTTGATTTAGATAGCCACAGACGGCTACCATATTAGACAGCACTAGACAGTAAGTAAGTTATTTTCATTCAATCAGGCAAGCAGCTCAACTAATATTGGGCTCCTTCCAGGATTCTTTTGGGCGCTGGGAGATCAGCAGTGACAAGGCAAAGTTCCTGTCCTCAGGTAGCATGGGAAGATGGACAATAAACACCAAGATGCATAATTTCATATGTGAAATATCAGGCATTTGTGAAAACAAATAAAACCAAGTCATGGGTAGAAAGTGACTCAGGGTTGCAGGGTTGAGGGTGGAGAATTCCGGAAGGGCCTCTGGGTCTCAGTTGAGTTGGGACCTGGATGACAAGCAGTCAGACCTGTGAAGAGCAGAGGGAGAAGCATTCTAGGCAGAGGGAACAGCAAGTGCAAAGACTCTGAGCATGGCATGTTGGGAACCATCCGCCAGCGAGGCTGAGGAGACAGGGTACAGAGTGTTCAGTCACCACGGGGAAGGCAGGGCCGGATCCCCAAGGGCCTCCTCAGCCCTCACGAGTCCTCTTCGTCTGTGGAGAACTGAAACCAAGGCGGACCCAGCCCAGGACACCCAGAACACTTCTGCAGAGATCGCAATAACACCTCCGGTTCCCATACTCGGCGGCGCTGGGGAAAAGCAGAGAGCTTTGTTGTCTTACATCAGGCGACTTGGGAAGGAGCCTAACCACTTCCCTGCCTGCCCTCTGACCTCCATTTCAACACTGGTTGTTTCGAGGTGGTGTCATTTTTCCCCGAACTTGTATGACTCCTCACTTCTTGCTCCATAACACTGAAGATGTACATTTCTCTGAACAAAGGGAAAAACCAGCTCGGGGACTTGTGAAGAGCCAGGCTCTGGGCTAAGGTATGGACATGCCTTCGGGGCATCAGGGCCCCGAATGGCTCTATGCATCTGCCTCACGGCACAGAGTCAGAATAGGAGGGAAGAAACGTCAGCCCAGCATCCTACGGGTAAATGCAGACTGTGGAGCCCGCTAACAAGGGAGCTCATGCGGGCATATTAAAGTACTTCATGCAGAACTGACCTACTGCGGGAGCCCAGGGAGACAGAGGGAAGTGAATAGCAATAATAAGAGCAAGCCCTATGCAGCACTTACTATTCTGATCCCTCCATGCATGGTAATTCTTGTGGTTCTCACAGCACCCCTATATGGCAGGTTCTGTTATTATACCCATTTTACAGGCGAGAGAAAGGTAAGGCCAAGGTGCACAACTGCTTAGTGGTAGAGCAGATTTAAACCCAGGGAATGTGGCCCAAGTCCATGAGCGAATCCACTGTGATAGGGATCGGATGTGGCTCTCTGCAGTCAGACACTATAACGGAGAAGAGATCCCTGCCTGCTTTAGATACATCCAGAGTAGGCTCGACTGGGTACTGTCTTTCCCCTTCCCCAGGTACCCAGTCCCACTCCCTTCTGCACAATCACTGACAGCAGCCTCGCTGCTATGAGTTGCCTGGGTAAGCAGGGAGGGCGTCACACTGAAGAAACACACAGCCTGGCTCTGGGGACATCCAGGAAGGCTTCCTGGTGGTGCTCCTCCCTTTAATAATTCTTTAGATAGCCCTGGCTGGTGTGGCTCATTGGACTGAGCGCAGCCTACAAACCAAAGGGTCACCGGTTTGATTCCCAGTCAGGCCACATGCCCGGGTTGCAGGCCAGGACCCCAGTGGGGGGCACATGAGAGGCAACCACACATTGATGTTTCTCTCCCTCTCTTTCTCCTTCCCTTCCCTCTCTCTAAAAATAAATTTAAAAATATATATTTAAATAATTGTTTTAGTTAAATCTGCTGTTCCCTCAATACCAGCATTTGTGGCAAAACCTGTTCTTGTTTGATTCGATGGTTTCCCATTTTGTCTTATGACACATTGCGTCAGGATTGTCCTCTGCTATTTGTCATAAATGTCCCTTCTTTGAGCTATACTGCACCCAAGACTTCAGAAGGTAAGCCTTAAAATGAAGCCACCACCAGCATCAGTGCTTGTAACAGAAAATGCGTTTGGGGCTCTGAGGAGCTGACAGTGATCTACACCACTTTGGAGCCCAACTTACAGGAGGAACTAACTGCACAGGGCTGGGTGCATACACCCTGGGCCTCATACAAACTCTTTGAGATAACTGTTTTGTTATCCCTGCTGCACAGGCGGGGAACCTGAGGGTCTGAGAGACGTGCCTAGGTCAGAGTGCCTGCAAGTGAGATTCAGACTCTAGCCATTTGACTCCAGAGGTTCTGGTGGTGGTGGGCAGGGGATTCAATATTGAAGTACAATATTCACTCAGTAATTCATTCTCTTCCTTCATGTTAAAAATGGAGATAATTGCAGATTCAGAGCGATCCTGTGGACACTTTGCTTATCTCACCTCCCCCCCCCAACCCCAAGGTGCCACCTTGCAAAACTGTAATACAATATTGCAACCAAAATGTGTTTCTACTCTTTTTGGTGGTGAAGAATACATGGAATTTACTCTTTTAACCACGTTCAGTGCACAGTTTAGTGGCATTAGGTACGTGCACACCGTTGTGCCGCCATCTCCACCACCCAGGTCCAGAGCACCTGGACCGCCCGGACAAAAACTCGGTGCGCATTAACCACTGACTCCCCTCCCCCACCCCGCCCCGGCCCCCGCCCGGCCTGGCGGGGCCCTGGCCCTGCCCCAGCCCCAGGCACTACCATTCTCCTCTCTGTCTGCATTCACGTGCCTGTTCTCGGTGCCTCGTACAAGTGGAAGCATGTTATTTTGTCATTTTTCGCCTGGCTTATTTTACACAGCAGAATGTTTTCCAGATTCGCCCATATTATAGAGCATGTCTCAGATTCCACTGCTTTTTAAGGATGAATAATATTCACTGTTCGTGTATACGGCATTATGTGCACTCACCTGTCAGTGGACATCTGGGTTGTTCCCGCCGTCTGGCCGCTGTGAAGACGCCGCTGTGGATGCGGGCGCCCACGCGCCTGGCTGAGTCCCCGCGTCAGTGCGAGCGGAACACGGAGGCTGGCACAGCCTGCTGCTCTTGCCCGCATTTCCGCAGTTCTGCTAGTTCTCGTTGTGGGTGTGCGTGGGTGCGTGTGCGTGCGTGTGTGTTACATTTAGACAACGTCATCAGAAGGGTGGTTTTATGTCTCCACCTCCACTGTGGAGATGCGGAACAGTCCCGGCACCACACCGGCCCTTGGAGTGACCCTTTCCTAATCTCTCCCCTCCCGCTGCGGCTCCACCCCACCCGCCCCCACCTGCTGGCAACCACTAATCCGACCTTCATTCCCAACATTTTGTCATTGCAAAATGTTACATGCATGAGACAATGCAACATGTAATCTCCCGAGACTGACTTGTTCGCTCCGCGTGGCTTCCTGGAGATTCACCCAAGTCCGCGGTGCGGATCGGTAGCTGCTGTCCCTTTCGTTGCTGCGTGGTGACCCGGGGCGCGCACTGCATGCGGTCCGCCTGCCGCTCTCCGCTGAAGGACAATAAGGGTCGTTTCCAGTGTTGGCCGTTACAAGTAACACTGTAACTGTTCCTACCCAGGGTTTTGTGTGGACGTTAGTTCTAACTTCCCTGGGGTCAAGGCCCAGAAGCCTATTTATGGTGTGGACGCGCCACCACCGTTGGGTTAACCCTTCGCCCCTTGAAGGGCCGTCTGGGCTGTTCCAGTCCCCCCGGGATGGACGCCGCTGGTACCAAGGTTCACGGGCAGATCTGCGTGGGAACCTAAACCATCGGTTCCCCGGGACAAAATGCCCAGGAGAGCGGTCGTTGGCTCATGTGGGAGTTGCATCTCTAGTTTTTGAAGAAATTTCCAAACTTTCCAGAGCGGCTGTGCCATTTTACACTCCCACCCACAGCATGCGGGTGACCCGGGTCCCCTGCACCATCGCCTCTGTGACCGGCTGTGACTCGTTCTCCTTCTGGCCACTCTGAGGGGGGTGCAGTGGCACCTCATTGTGGTTCTCATTTGCACTTCCCTAAGGGCGAGTGATGCTGAGCAGCTCTCCATGTGTTTCTCCATCATCCATCCTCCCTATGTCCTGTTCGGTGAAATGTCTGTCTAGGACTTCTGCCCATTTCTAATGGAACTGCTTGGTATTTTAACTGTTGAGTAGGAAGAGATTTTTCTACCTCTAGATACTGTTCCTTTGTCAGATCTGTGGTTGGCAAATATTTCCCCTGCGTCTTTAACTTGCTATTTTATCGTTTTTTACAGGGTCCTTCACAAAGCAGAAACTGTAAATGTCGATGGGACGCAATTTATCTGTCTTTCCCTTTCCGGGTCATGCTTGTGGGGTCAAGTCTAACAAGTCTTTGTTTAGTCCTTGGTCCTAAAGATTTTCCCCTGCTTTTCTTCTAAATGGTTTACAATTATTTTATTTATATTTAGGTTTATGGCCCATTTCCAGTGAATTGGGCTTCATGAGATTGCACCCCCATGCATGCGAGGTTCAGTGTCCAGCCGTGCTCTGGTTTGAGGGGATCGCTCTGCAGACGTCTGGGCCTCTGCCTCCCGTGGCTCCCGGCTCGG